GTCGAACAAGAAAAACAAAAAGGGAGGTAGGACAATGGTTAAGTATGTCGACAAGAGGCTGAAGAAGGATAAGAAGGCGAAGAAGCGGGTAGAAAAGAAGAAAAAAAATATATCAAGACGTAAATACTCCAAATCGAGGCCTTTCAAATTTAAACATAAAATTTGACATGCGTTACTTTATGTGTGACTGCAGGGCCCTTTGGTCATCTTCTAAAGTGGCGCAAACTTGTAGATGAATTTGCGTAAAAATATTTAAACCATTTAATCCATTTTGAACCCCTCTGTTTGCACACTTTTATGTGTGATGAAAAAAAAAGAAATTTGTTTCCTTTTTGGCTTTTGTAAACTTTATTTCATAAAATTATGCACAGTCATACATTATAGCATTTTTTTTTTTTACCAAAATAGCCAAAAATGTATAAAGAAAAAACTAATTAAAGTACAAATTGGTTAAAAAAGTTATGACCTGTTCATACGGTAAAAGTAGAACAAAGTGGTTGCAAAAAAAAAAAAAAAAAGAAAAAAGCTAGCTTCCTTCCCTTTTATGTTCAATTTTATGGTGAACGCACATTCGAACAAATTTCCCCAATTCGAGGCATAGTTGTAGTGAAAATCCGCCAACGGCAAAAAAAATTGTGTATGTTTTTAAACCGACAACGAGGGGACGCATAGGCAAATTCGCACATGTGCATACATGCGTAAGTACACAGGTGCGTACATTTCTGCCAACGCGAGGCACTTTTTGTACGCGCGGAGTGGCGATGCAAAGAAAACACATACCCGCGTAAGTACATGCGATGGAATTATTTGTGCGCGCTTTTGACACAACTAGGGTGATGCAACCCTGTACACGTCAAATAGGAAGGAACAACTTCGCGCAGCATACATCGCAGAGCATTTTTCATTAGCGTTCGTTTATGTTTTTTCCTACATGCTGAATTTGTCAAAGTATATATTGTTCGCAATAATTGTACATTTGGGGTGAAAAAAAAGGACAATAACAATGACAATAAGAGTGACAATGAAGTGAAGTCAAGTGATGTGAAGTGAAGTCAAAAACGCACGGTAACAAACTTTTTGTATTACATGCGTGCACATCCACGCTGTCACTAAGTGTTAAAAACCATTTTAAGGTAGCTGAAAAAAAGGATAGATTAAGTAATAGTGCGAAAAGGTATACAAATATGTAACTGAAACGCACGTAGGCAATGTTCGCATCTGCCCTTTTCGCCCCTTTTTCTACAGTATATATAGAAGCATGCGTACGACCGGGGGACACCTCTCCACATGCTAATATTCTTTACCTTTTTCCCGAAAAATAGGAACATAAAAAAAAAGAAAAAAAAAAGAGGTAAGCCAGTTTAGAACTTTGAACTCATAACTCCAAGCGAGATGGACTTCCAACATTTTAGCAAAAACGTAAACAAATTAAAAATGGCTAATGGTTCTGTTATGCCGACTCCAAGGTATTATTTAGAGTCGCATGGGAATTATTTAAGCATAGTGAACGAAGAAAATAATGTGCGAAACATTTTAAAAATTAGGCATGCGGATGATGTACAAATAGTGAAGGAGAAGGAAACACTTACAAGCAGTAGTAACAATAGCTGCACAGAAAATGAGAACAAAAAAAAGTTCCCCTTTTTTGGCTGCTTAGGAATAGTTAAAGCGGAACATACGAACTTCTTAGTGATAGTTTCCGATGCAGAGGTAGTTTCTTATTTGTTCAATCGCGCCATTTATAGAGTAAAGAAAATTTCCTTTATCCAGCTGAACGATGAAGGGGAAGGTAAGGACAAGATGGCTAGTCATCACAATTACCAGTATGAAATATGTTGTCTCGGGAGCAATGGCGTTTTAACGCCCTTAAATAGTAACGACGCAAAGGAAGGTAAAAAATTCTTCTGTAACAAGAAGATAAAGACGCAAAATCATTTCGACAACCTATTAGAATGGAGCAATTTCCTTTTCCAGAGCCCCACCGCGAAGAATACCCAACTGCGCAATAATAGCGAAACGTACATTCACAAACTTAAGAATTGCACATTGAAAAAAGATACATTAAAAACGATAGCGTATTTTTCGCATGCCTTTAATAAGGGCCCCTTTTACTTCTCCTATCACTACAATTTAACGGCGTCTCTACAAAGGCTTTACATAACTGAGTCTCAAAGGGAGAAAAACAGAGGGAGATCTTCAACCCCGTCGGTATCTGCTGGACCACATGTTTATGCGGATGACTGTAAATATCAAGGGACAACAGAACCCATTTTCCACATGCTACAATTCAAAGAAATTAATCATGAGTACACATGGAACTGGAAGCTGCTGCAGCAGTTTATTCCCATCGATGCATTTGAGTTCGTGGTGTTCCTAATACATGGATACGTCAATTCAGATGTGTTTCATGTCCCCAATGGAAAACTAACATTGTATTTGATATCGAGAAAAAATAAGAACCGAAGTGGAGTAAGGTTTTGGTGTAGAGGCGGAAATGACAAGGGAGATGTAGCCAATTTTGTCGAAACAGAACAAATTTTAGTATGTAAAGATGCGCACAAGACAAACATTTTTAGTTACATCATTGTGAGGGGATCCATCCCTGTCCTGTGGAAACAAGAGCCAACGCTTAGTCTAAGGCCAAGAATACAAATCTGCCCAGACATGAAAGAAAATGCGAAAACATTGAATCTACATATGGAGAAATTGAAGAACACGTATGGGAAAATCTCCATCACTAATTTGACTAATAAAAATTTTGGCGAGAAGTATCTAGGGCAGTGTTTTGGGGCATGCTTGAAGGAATGCAGCGTCGAGCACAACTACACCTGGTTTGATTTCCATAGAGAGTTTAAAAAATTAAATTATCAAAATTTGCACACGTCGCTGAAAACGGTGATTGAGGACTTGAATGATTTTTCCTTTTTCTCCTTTTCGTTTCCGAGCGGGGTTAGGTACAATTTGGAGCACGGCGATGAAGTTGGCGGTAACGTTGGAGGTGAAGATTTTTCTTCCCCTTCGTCAACTGCTTCCACTTCTCCCACTTCGTCCACTTCACCAACGTGTTCCCGCTTCCCCTCGTGGTCGTCCGCAAAAGTGGACACCTTCCAAAAGGGCGTATTTCGAGTCAACTGCATCGACTGCCTAGACCGAACGAACGTCTTCCAGAGCTTCCTGGCAAAGTACGTCCTACAGATGCAACTGCGCACTATGGATATCAAGCTAGAGCAGGAAAACAAGTTCCCCTTTTACCTTTTTCAGACCGCGTATGACGAACATTTATATCGCCAGACTTGGATTAACAATGCCAATGCGATTAGCGTTATATACAGCGGCGCAGGAGCGCTGAAAAATGACATAACGAAAAATGGGAGGAGAACCATTGGGGGGCTGTTGCAAGACCTGTTCCACATTCTGCAGAGGTACATAAATAACAACTTCCTAGACGGTTACAATAATGACTGTATTCATTTAGCCACCAGTGAGAATTTGAAATATGAAAATGTTTTTAATCTCCACAAGACTCAGTACAAGCAAGTGATGAATGTAATTTTGGAGTTCATCGTAATTTTTACGACAGTTGCGTGTACTAGTCCTGTGCAAAAATTGTTAAAGGGGGTGTACTTTTTATTCCACAACATGACCTCGATCACCCTTTCGCAGTGTATTAATTACGCTTTTTTCCTGATGCGTAGAAATTTTCATTTGTTTTTATTTCCCTACAATCAAGTCAAGTACTTGCATTTTATTTCGCTGCTGGCAAAGGCGTCGGGAATTTTGTCTACCTCCCTTTTAATTTTCGTCTTTTTTTGTGTGTATATATTTACTCAAAGGTGGCGCGTCATCTCGTCGCCCAAGCTTGGCACGGATTAGCAGGCAAAGCCAAAAAAAAAAAGGGGGGAGAACCAAGGGGGGAAACTTACTCCACGTCCACTTACGTGTGGGGAAGGTGGACCAACAAGTGAAAACTTTCTCTTAGTAAGAACTGAGTGGATAAAAAAAAAAAAAAGAAAAAAAAGTTATCATCACAGGAATATTTTTTTTTTGTACATATTTATTGTTATGAAGTGAAATTTGGATAGCCTGGCTCTACATCCCTGCCACCTACGCATAATCTGTTTTCCATTTCTTCTTTGCCCAGATTTTCCTTTTTTCTATCGTGCCGTGTTTGCCAATGCGTTGAAAAACGTTTGAACAGCTCTTACGCAGCATGTTAAACTATGTCTGCGTGTTGTGTGCACATAGAGCAACAGTTTTTATTGAACTCAATGGAGGAACATTTTGTCAATCCACTGGGGAGACTGGGGGGGGGGCCTTTCTTCCGGCCGTGTCCCTTTAAAAATTATTTCGCCTCGAGGTGAGTGTTCACATTTGAGCAGTGGCTCCTAAGTATGTTTACATCCCCGCATGTGTGTACATATACATTTATTCCTACACGTGTGCATAGCGCAGCACGACATGCATGTAGAGCCCCTATGAACGAGCGCCTCGCTTAAGATCACGTATCTTCAAGTTGACGTAGCCTCAAAGAAGTTCCTCTCTTGGGCTAACTCCACCTTGAGTAACACTTGGGCTAAATACATGTTGGCAATTTTAACAGGTAAAAAATCATTATTATTTTTTTTTTTTTTTTCTTTTCTGGTGAACTGAACTATCTCGTCGTTTGGGAAATTTCATCTCGCCTTTCTGACTCTGAGCAATTTTGCATTCCTTACCGTTTGTGACGCGGGGCGAAGTGAATACAAAATGGGAACACCTTCCAAATAAGCAAAAAGGCGAGGCACAATTTTGGGGCGCGAAAAATTCATGAATGATTAAGCGAAGCAGGAAAGAAAACAAGAAAAAAAAAAAAAAAACATGGGTATCTCTGAGAGGGGAAGAAAACAACGCACGCACAAATAAAGGAGGCTAAGGAAGAAATAGAATGAGCAAAAATGGGAACAATATAATGTGAAAACACACCAGTTATACACGCCATCCGTACAGTACAATGCCATAAAATGAAAAATATAAATCACAGACAACATTTCTTGGAAAGTACTACTGTCAATAATAAGAGCTATACCAATACTGAAAATTTAAACACACAGCACAAGGAATCCAACGAGAAAGGACCCACAAAAGGGAGCACCCATCCCGTGCTGAGCAAAAACAAAAAGTATAACCAAACTGCGAGTGCTGAAATTACCACAGAAGTGAGTGACACGAGGGACAATCCAAGTTTGAACTTCATAACGATTAGAGGTGAAAAGCTCAGGGTAGAAAAAAAAAAGAACAAAAAGGTGAAAAATGAAACGTTCAATTTCAGAGTCACGGCTGACACAAGAAGAAACAACGCCAAGGGCGATACACTTTTTCCACTTAAGAAAAACGGAGAAGGGAAAAAATTATTGGAGAAAAGGGAATGCCTTCTGAATAGGGAATCAACGAAATTTCATGAAAAAACGGACATTGAAAATAACACAAGCGATTTTTCCAATTTGATCACTTTTTATGATCAGCCAACAGTGTGTGAAAACATTCCCATCCAAAATAACCCCCCGCATGGCACACACACGGATGCACTCACGAGGGATGTCCTGGAAATTTCCTTAAAAAATGTTCATTTCGATATTCACCTGGATATTCACGAGGGAATTGGAGAGATCCCCACGGAGACCGTTCCTGAGGAAAGTGCTACCCGCAATGGAAACAGGGATGGAAACGCGGGTGGCAACAGGGATGATAACAGGGATGGCAACAGAGATGATAACAGGGATGGCAACAGAGATGATAACAGGGATGGCAACAGAGATGTCAACACAGGTGACAACAGGAAAACCAAACATGGTCCAAGTGTGAATGCAGGGGATGGGAAGAACCGCCCCCGTGGCAATAACACCGCGCAGACGAATTTCGAAAATTTGAACAAGGAAGAAAATGCCGAAAAGGAACTACTACTGGAGCATATAAAGAGGCTCGAGTATCAAAACAATATATTTCTTAATAATCTGTTAAATGTGTACTATGTCTGCATGGACTACATCAAAATGCAGGACGAGAAAATAAAAAAAAATGAAGAAATCATACTTTTCCAGAATAAAATTATAAAAGATTTAAAGGCAAGTCAACACTTCGAGGACACCACAGGTATGAGTAATGACACAACTGGTAACTGTAAAAATGATGACTCAGATTTGTGAAGTGGCATTCGCTTTCGTTTCAGTTAAAAGCAGAATTATGAAGCGGTTATTTTTCATCCTAATCGACGAGGCCGTTCATCCCTCTTTGCCCTATCTGTGCATTTTTTTCTCATTAACAAAATTTGAAGCAGTCACTATGTGCAACACCAGATTGTGAATGGCACAAAAAAGAGAGTAAACTAATAACGAACCTCTGACAATATTGAAGTACCGGCGGGAAGACACGCAGTGAGGGATATGTAGAGGATTCCCTCATAATTTTTTTTTTTTTTTTTGCCTCCCTGCGTGGAAAAGCGGAAAGTGCCAAATTTGTAACTGTATACATTATAATAAACGTCGCATAAAGGAGAAAACGAAATTATTATACATGAGAAGGCTCTACATCTGTCGAGTAAAAGAAGTCAATTCCCATTTTTTGAAGTGCAAAATTCCCCATTTTTGCGTATAATCAGTCCAGCTGCAGCTATGTGCTTTTACGCCTCCACCGAGTTGGAGTCTTCGGCTCGTCGTTGATGTTCTCTTATTCGGCATTGTGATAATTACGCACACGCAAGCAAAGGTGTGTGTATTGGTTTTTTTTGTTTGCAGTGCTTTGTTTATTCTTACCATTTTGTCACATTTCCACTTTGCCACTAGGCCATTTTGCCAGTTTGCCTCTGTTCATTCTTACCTTTTTTCTATTTTTCAACTTTTCAATTTTCTCATTTTTTTCGTGCTCGAAAAAAATATGTACACTATCCCCTTGGTACCCCAAAGCGTGGCTGCACTCGATCCCCGTTCATTTGACTCCCAGTTCTGATTTTTCAAAATGTGTTGCGCGCCCCATGGCAATCTTTGAAAATGCATACGTACCAACTGTTGGAATGGGAAAAATGGGCAGCCTGGTGGAATAAAAAGGGGGATACTCTGGTAACTGACCCTATTGGAAACTTACCCCTTCTTCACTACAGGCAGAACAACGATTTGCGAATAACGCGATAAATGGAGCATCCTTGTCCAAGCAGGAAGACGTAACAAAGGATTTTTTTTTTTTTTTTTTTATATATATATCCCCCTTAACATATTTCACCTGTAGGTGCGGCAAATGTTAGGCCCAATCATATAAGCCACTTCCATTTTCATACATTTAGAAAAACACCATCCCACCTTTTTACGTGCACACGCTTCTTTGATTAACATATGAACATGTTGTAAATTTTTTTTTCCTCCTCCCTTTTGTGGATGGCCCATTAGTTTTTCCGCTTATTCGACGTCCATTTCGAGCTCCACTCTGTCACGTGCGAACTCAATTTTTACGTTTCGCCTTCTACGTTTCGCGGAAGGGACGAAGAAGTTTTACCATCCGCATTTTTTTCGAGTTTGGATTTTCAATTAAGCAGGGCAAAATGTGCGCATACCCATTTGGTAGACACCTTGCTTGTGTACCATTTTGCGAGACCAGGAACAAATATACGGCATTTACAGCTTCCCTTTTTAATTAGCCGCTGGTGAGATGAGTGCACAGAGGAGCGGGAGAAGGGGAAAATTACCTACTTTGCACACCCCTGTCAAAATGAAAATATATTTATTTATCAATTAATTAAAAAGTTCCGCTTGATATTTTCACAGTTTTTCAATTTAAAAATTTATGATGCAGATCAAACAAGCGTTACGTGCAACATCCTTCAAATGTCCCTAGGATTAAAGAAAAAAAAAAAGGCTCCACGCACATACACATGCATGAGCGTACGCACAAAACATATATGTACATATCTACGTGTAGCATATATGTGCACATGGACACACGCGTGGATATCCCCTGTCTACACTTGTACGAAACATAAAAAAATGAGGAGTCCTCGCCCCGCTTATTCATTCTGTGAATTCTTCTTCGTTCGCTCGCTGTCGATTACTTCAACCTGAAAAGGCCAAAAGGGAAGGAATGGACAAGCCGCATAGTCGGGGCAATTTTTGCTGCTCATCCCCTGCGCATGTACGCAAAAGCGAGGTGAGGCAAAAATGGGATACGTATGCAACGATCGCACAGGGCACATATACATATTTTTTATGACAATGCGGTATGCTATACATTCCCTTGTGCACATTTTTTTCCTCATCTTCTGCCACATTTTTGGGGTCCGATACAGCTACTGTGCAGACTTACCAATGCGTTTATTTGCTGTTCATCGATGAAGCTTAATTCCTTCTCGGTCAGCAGGGCGACTTCGATATTTTTGCTGCTCAATTCAACGACCTATTTATAAATAAAAAACGGGAGAGATTAGCAAAAAATGTAACATTTGGCAGATGAGAAACATGGAAGTTAATTAATCACGGGTGTTTCCCTTCACAAACAAATCCTTCCTTTTCTTTCTCGATGCGACGGAAACACTCAAGTTCTCTGTGCTCACCTCAAATATGGCCTTCATGGCTAGAAGGAGGCAATCGTTCTGCTCCATATTTTCTTGGTAATTTTTTTCCAGAAATTCCTGCACAACTTTTGCGTTTTTTCCAATTGCCTGCGCTTTCCACGATGCATAAATGCCGCTGGGCTCCGTTTGGTAAATGCATATTTCTTTGTTATTCTTAAATCCAGCGATCAACGTTGCTATTCCAAATGGTCTCACACCTCCTCTATGTGTAAACTTCTGCTGAACCTTTGCAACGTACTTGGCAATGTAGTCAACTGGCGCCGGTTCGTCCATGTTTAAAAAGTACCTTTGGCATTCCAGTCGCGTCTGAATGGGAAAAAAAAAAAAGTGTAAAAAAGGTGTAAAAAAAGTGTGCAAAAATATGAACATTTTAGATATCTAGAAAAAAAAAGAACATTTTGGCTATCTGAAAAAAAAAAAAATTTGCACGTTGTGCCCAGTTTACCTTATTCACTAAAACCCGCGCATCGGCATTCAGCCCTGCAAAGGCTAAACAGTTGTGTTCGTCCAATTTGATCAACTTCTCCGTCGTTCTGGGGTTTTGCAATTTCGGAATGTTTTTCTTTTCCACTGCCAAAACAGCGAAATTGGAACTTTTTAGTGCCACTGCACAGCCTCCTTTTTTAACCGCCTCCAAGGCATGTTCTACTTGTAGCAGATGTCCATCAGGACTGAACACGGTTATGGCTCTATCATAACTCATTTTTATTTTCGAGCTACGTTATCTGAATTGTTATTTTGAATTCTTGCACAGGAGTCCCTACAAACGATATCAAAAAGGAAAAAAATAAAATGCCGTTCCGAATGGATATGTAAATTTGAAGGGCGGTGTAAATAAGTGTGCTACTTGCACATGCCAGTTTCGCGTTGTCCACTTCGATCTTTGTTGTTACAACGGTAGTGGCGGTGCAAAATACGCGAAATGGATGTGACGCAGGCGTTCGATCGGACAAACTTCAGCCACGAGCAGAAAAAAAAGTGCCCACGTATAAATGTACACACGCAACTGCGCGAGGAACGAACAATGCTAGCGCGCTATAGATGCTGCACAGTGCCACGCGAAACAACACGGAATTCACCATGCATATACGCAACAAAGTGAATATTGCTAACTCTACGCTGCGGACTTTGGACCAATTTAGGAAAACACAAACATGTAATGTGATTTATGCGCAGGGAAGCTCTCGTGTTGATGGCCACTAGATGAACACACGAGGATGCTAAGCACGAATATAATAAAACAGATTCACGTACACTCTTGTGTACAATTTGTGTTCACCATGTTGGTGGGGGGGAACAGCTGTCACTAGAAACGTATAGGCGTGACTACAGGCATACAGAGACGTATTCAAAGAATTACTGCTTTTATGTTATGAACGCATGGTACGCGTACATGCAAGCATGTTAGCCGCGCACATGTTCATCCTCTCATTCACTTACAGGACGAATGTACGCTTCGACAATCCACCTGGGGCATATACCTTGTACCGCCTGTTGGTGTATCTCCTTAGATATTTTCTTACACCCTGGGAGGTCCCCTTTGTGCGAATGAAATTTTCAGAATACTCAATTCGGGTTCGGCCCTAAATGTTCGTGCAATAGATTAAGTTGATATGTGAAACCAGTGGGGATAAGAACTAAGCTCTTGGAAGTCGCTCTTCAGCGAGGTAGCTACTTTGGGGAATCGCTACTGTGAGGAGTCACTCAGGGAGGTTACTCATTTGCGAAGTCACTCACTTGGGAAGTGACTCATTTGGGAAATCACCATGTTAAGCGGTTACTTCTGGAAGTTGGCAGTTTTTTTTCCTTTCCTTTTTCCAATTTTAAAGGAGCACTTTTTTTTTCTGGTTAAGCTCTTCGCAATGCGGCATACACGCATGTATTAGTGGTGACACCGCGCGCAAGAGTGTACAGCACAATGCCCAGGGATGGACGACGAGAGCCATTCGCCGGGTAACGAGCCCCCCCCCCCGTTGGCGTGCCCTACTGTTGTGCCCTACGTGCCAATTTTTTACCGTTCTTCAGGGATGTATTCCCACTTTGCGCTTCTCTCGCACCGCCACCTTTTGATGCTCCCGCGGGTGATACCCCCACCGCATAGTATGATATGTTCGTAATTATAGCACACGTGACATAAGTTATTGTACGCGCTTCATCTTGGCCGGCATTCTTCAAGCCCCACCCCCTACGACGCGCGCGATAAGTGTGAAACAATACAAATGAGCATCATCACCATCGCGCTGTTTTTCTTTTTCTTTTTTTCTTAAGCCCTAGTCACCTTATCATAATTCCCCTTCACCCTCAGGGTCGTAACTCAGCTGCACTCTAATATCCTAAGAGAAAGGGAAAAAAGTTAAAAGGCGTATTCTTACCACTGACGTTAAGCCGCATCGAAATAGCTCTGGTTTATTTTCTCCTATTACCCATTCCATGCAAATAATTTTGCCGCACATATACGAACATGCTTGCGTAACCAAACGTGTAGCAGCACTATAGCAGCACACACATATACTTCGTTGTTCACTGCGTGAAAAACGATACAACGAGGGGAATGCAACTTAGAGGTAGCCAAAACAGAGCTAGTTGCTTTTCCTCGCAATCGCAAGCCTCCAAACTATAGAGGGGCACCCTATCGCGCGTAAACTCCCCCACCAGACGTAACAACCTTTGCTCAGGAATGGCCAGGAGATATGACAGCAGGACGACTACCTTCTCCCCAGAGGGTAGATTATACCAAGTAGAATATGCCCTAGAAGCAATAAATAATGCCAGCATAACAATTGGCATAATAACAAACGAGGGAGTAATCCTGGGGGCGGACAAAGTGTTCATATCAAAGTTAATAGATAGGGAAAATAATTTCGAGAAAATCTACAAAATTGACAAGCATATATTCTGTGGAGTGGCAGGATTAAATGCCGACGCGAACATTTTATTAAACCAGTCCAGACTGTACACACAAAGATATCTGTACAACTACAATGATGTGCAGCCTGTGTCCCAATTAGTCGTTCAGATTTGTGACATTAAGCAGAGTTATACACAGTATGGTGGGTTAAGACCCTATGGTGTGAGTTTTTTGATTGCAGGGTATGATGTAAAGGAGGGATACCAACTGTACCACACCGACCCGAGTGGAAACTATTCTGGATGGTTTGCTACAGCCATTGGCACGAATAACTTGACGGCCAGTTCAATTCTCAAGCAGGTAATTGATGAGTGTGTTGTGAGCGTCTCTCCATGAGAATCCTTTCCCGCCACCTGTGCAACTGCTTATTAACGCATGGCTGCTCCCTTGCATTCATGTGTAGCACCCCCTTCTCATGTAACGCATTTTCCCATTTCTATCCCCGCGAAGGAGTGGAAGAAGGACATGACTTTGCAGGATGGCCTATTGCTGGCCCTGAAAACACTGGCCAAGAGCACAGATAGCGAGGTACCCAAAAGCGAAAAAATCGAGTTAGCCTACCTATCAAACAAAGACGGGGAATTGATACAGAAATATTTAACAGAAACGGAAATAGCAGAACTGGTTAAAATATACACAGAACAGTATGTGAAAGAGTAAGTTCCATCTGAAAAAGTGTTCTCCGCAATGGCGCCCCTCCGCAGTAGCGTCCTGTTTGTCCATATGTTTGTTGAGAAGCCGCTCCCCAGTGAAATATAGCAGTCGTTTTTGCCTTGTTCCTACATGTGATGGTACCTCTCTTTTTCTCCTTTGACACCATTTTGTCTACCCTTTTTTTAAAAAAAAAAAAAAACGCGAACAAAATGAGAAAGCGATTAATTGTTAACAATTTTTTTTATGAAATTTCTATTTTTTGTTCCACAGTTATTTTAAAAGGGGTCATACGTGTCTGTACTAAATAGGTATATGATAAACATATGCACAAACATGGGCATATCAAACGGCCAAAATGGAATTAAAAAAAAAAAATTGCGATTTGGTCTGCATTTTTTAAAAATTAAAAAAAAAAAATAGTCGGCTGACCAAGGAATATTTTACCCCGTACGCGGAGTGGTATATGATAGAAATATTCTCACTATGATTTTCATTATGATTGGAACAATTGGCAACAACGTGGGCCATTGGAGGTTCGCCAATTTTTTGGATTCCTCATTTTATGTGTTAAGAGGAGAGGCGACGCTTCATTCGAGTGTATACAAACACGCACATAAATAAATGCCCATTTGCACAAACACGTACATTATTACGCTCGTATTACCTAACAACGAACGATCATTCCACAGCCGAGGAAGAAGCCAAAACTGACAGCCCCACCAATGATTGAAACGGGGAAAATGAAAAGATTTTTGTGTGCAAAGGAGGCATATAATCCCGTTAAGCTTCCGAAGATTCCTCCAACCATTGTGCCCATTTTGACCCCCATTTTTACGCTCTCCAAACATGCCCTTGTCCGATGACTCAAATTAAAATCAAATAAATTTTGTTTATCATCATAAAAAGAAGAATCGATAAAATTACTTTTTGTATATTTTGAAAAATCCTCATCATATTTATCACTCGCGGAGGTATCTTCCTTAAATTCAAATTTGGGGGGAGGGCTAAACCCCTTGAATTCGGTTGCAGCAGGTTTTTCACTTTTTAACGACTTGGGTTTCTGAGGTGCAGACGCAAGGTAACTTCCAAAGGGCGGGGGAGTAACGTAATCATCGTACGGTGACTTCACTTTCTTCTCCTCGGGAGCTTCTTTTTTCCAAAACCAGTTCATCTTGCTTGTTCATAATACTTTATGGGCATATAGATTGGGCAAAAACATACATACGTGCTTAAATGCTTATTCGTATGCTTTTCTGATGGGAAGATAGGCCACCTACTCTTCACGCGTGCGTTTCTCCCGAGATACCACTATACAGAGGGTGGGGAGTGGCGAAATCCATATGCATGCTCTTACAACGTTGCTCGATAGTTATGCCTATAGCGAATACGTAGTGAGAAAAAACTTCTTTTCTTTTTCTCCCACCTTTACGGAAAAAGAAATACATCTTTTTTAAGGAATTATTGGAATATTTTTCCTCTCGTGGTAGGAAAAAAAAAACAATCTACATTTTTTTTTACATTTCGTGCATTACACCGTCGTTTTTTTTTTGTTTTTTTTACCAAATCATTTGACTAACATGTTCGTCGCAAGATTGTATAAAAAGGCCTATACGCACCGATTTTCATCTTTTGCGAGTTTTTCCATCGTGTTCCACTTTTTCAAAATGTTTCTTTCCCACTATTTTTATAGAAACGTTTAAACTTTTTTTTTTTTTTCCCGGTGCACGGGTGGCGGTGAAATCAGGGACGAGACATTTCCCCCCTCTAACTATGAGCAGACACAAAAGGACTTACGCAACCGCACGTTCTTTTAACATTCTTGTCTATTAGTAGGCGCACTTGTTTTCGTACGCCTTTATTGACAATCCCGACTTGCACAACTTACTATGTTTATCCCTCCTTCTCGCCAGTTTCATGAACTGCTAGTTTAGAATCTTCACTTTTGTGCCCACACTACTCAGACTTACGTGCCCTGTGCAGTATGGCTACCAGCAGCTGAGACGAGGAACATTTCCAATGACTTGCAAAGTTGTTATGTGAAGTGTTTGCATGTATTTTTTAACTGCCCTTCGGAGCAACCAAAAGGTTTGAATAGATCGATTTAACAGCGAAGGGGGGGTTCCACCGTGGCAAGAAGCGAA